TATGTTTCCACAGTTTATAATGCCTCATCTCTGCTATTGAAACTTTGACTGGGAATAACTATGTAAGATAGAAATGAGACGTAGAAATAGCACTTGATCTTTTGGGTTTGAATTTTGCAATAGAGAAAAAGTTGAGAAACCCACAGATAAGAGTATTGTTGAATATGTAGACGAGTATGAAAAGTGGGAAAGGGCCAACAAACTCTGTTTGAAAATTATTAAGCGATCGATATCTGATTTCATTCTAAGTGTCATCCCCGATAATGAAAATGCCAAAAGTTTTATGGATGCCGTAGGCAAGAAATTTATTAAGTCGAAACTGGGGATCTGATAGATAAATTGATGAATATGAGATGTGATCGTACAAGTGGTGTCATAGACCACATTATAAATATATCATCTGAGCTAAAGGCTGTTAAAATTCCATTGGTCTTAGTTTATTTTGAGTCTTTTATTTATAGATGTGCCTTTGAATTCTTGGTGTTTAGACTCTGGAGTTAGTATTCACATTGCGAATTCCTTGTTGAGGTTCACAAGCAAATGGAGGCCAAGTGAGAATGAAGTGAGCTTGAGTCTTGGAAATGGAGTTCAATTGTACGTTGAGTTTATAGGAGTAGTGAAGTTGACTTTAGAGTTTGGTTTTTCTCTTGTTTTGGAAAATACAGTTTTTGTACTGCAAATGAAACGGAATTTAATTTCTATATCGAAATTAGATGCTTGTGGTTTTTCTTTTAGCTTTGGTAATGGAGATGTTGAGTTATTTTAGAGTTCTCATTTGATTGGGAATTGACTTTTATGTTATGGTTTATATAAATTATCTTTGGCTCATTTCGGTGATGTCTCATGTGTTACCAGTGTATCAAAGAAAATGACTTTAATTCGTGAATCATCCTCTATGTTGTGACATAAGCATTTGGGTGATATCTCTAAGGATAGAATGGAAAGATTAGTAAAAGATGAGATATTTCCCTCTTCGGACTTCTCTGATTTTGAAACCTGTGTGGATTGTATAAGAGGAAAGCTAACTAAATCTACAAGGAAGGGTTCAACTAGGAGTAATGGAATTTTGGACTTGATACACACTGATATCTGTGGACCTTTGTCTTCTACTATATGTGGGAACAAATATTTTATAACCTTTATTGATGATTTCTCACGATATGGATATGTTTACTTGATTAACGATAAATCAGATGCACTTGAGAAATTCAAAGTTTTCAAACTGGAAGTAGAGAAACAATATAGGAAAAGTATCAAAGTTGTAAGGTCCGACCGTGGTGGTGAGTACTATGGGAAATATGACGAGTCTGGTCAAAATATGGGTGATTTTGCAAAAATTTTACAGGAGTGTGGAAAAGTGCCCCAATACAACATGCTAGGGACACCTGAGCAGAATGGTGTTTCTGAAAAACGTAATCAAACCCTAAAAGATATGGTTAGAAGTGTAATGAGTAGAACAAATTTGCCTGAATATTTGTGTGGTGAAGCTTTGAAAACAGAGTTCCAAGTAAAGCTGTTGCAAAGACACCTTTTGAATTATGGATAGGACGTAAGCCAAATTTGGCTTACTTTAAAGTTTGGAGATGTCCAGTTGAGGTTATGATTTATAATCCATTTATAAAGAAATTAGACTCAAAATCCACTCTTGGTTACTTTATTGGGTATCCGGACAGATCAAAAGGATATAAGTCCTACTGTCCAAATTGTGGCACTAGAATTGTTGATTCCATTATTGCTAAATTTTTGAAAAATGATTTTAGAAATAGTAGGAGTTCCACATTGAGAGAACTTATTGTTGAACAAAATCAAGTTGTTATTCCAGTTCATGTTATACAGGAAAGGGTTGGTTCTCAATCAATTGAAATAGTTAATGAAGAACCGAGGAACTTTTAATTCCTCCAACAATGATTGAATCGGTCCCTGAGCCACAAGTTAGGAGATCACAAGAGGAAAGAAGATATGTATTGCCCAGTGATTATATTATATATTTATTGGAGAGTGATTTTAATATTTGGCATGTTGTTGATCCTGCCACTTATAATCAAGCATTGACAAGTCCTGAGGCAGAAAATGGATAAATGCTATAAAAGATGAAATGAATTCTATGGAATAGAATAAAGTGTGGGAACTTGTTGAACTTCCTCCAGATGCTAAAGCTGTAGATAAAAAGTGAATTTTCAAAAATAAATTAGATTTAAAAGGAAATGTTAAACGAAAGAAAATAAGATTCGTTGCAAAAGGTTTCACTCAACGAGAGGGCATTGATTATGTTAAAACCTTTTCCCCTGTTTCGTCGAAAGATTTTTTTCGAATTATCATGGCTCTTGTGGCACACTACGATTTGGAGTTTCATCAAATGGATGTTAAGACATCATTTTTGAATCGAGATATTTCTGAAATGGTTTATATGAAACAACTTGAAGGTTTTGTTATGAAAGGAAAAAAAAACTTAGTATGTAAGTTAAACAAATCCTTATATGATCTCAAGCAAACATCTCGACAGTAGTATTTGAAATTTGATGAGGTTGTGACATCTCTTGGTTTTGTTGAAAATACTGTTGATTAATGTGTTTATCTAAAAATCAGTGGAAGAAATTTTATTTTTCTTGTATTGTATGTTGATAACATTCTGCTCGCCTGCAGTAACCTAGGGTTACTTCATGAGCCAAAGAAAATGTTGTCTGCTAAATTTGAGATAAAAGATCTCGGAGAAGCTTTTTATGTGCTTGGAATTGAAATACATCGTGATAGAAAAATCGTGGCTTGCTGGGATTTTCTCAGAAAGTATATATACGACGTGTTCTAGAAAGGTTTAATATGTAGAACTGTGCACCTAGTGATGTACCCATCATAAAGGAGATAAGTTTAACAAAACTCATTGTCCAAGGAATGATCTAGAAATGAAATCTATGAAAATGATTCCTTATGCTAGTGCTGTGGGAAGCTTAATGTATACTCAAGTTTGAACTAGACTGGATATAATCTATGTAGCCAGTGTCCTTAGTAGGTTTCAGTCGAATCCAGGACAGGAGCATTGGAAAGCAGCTAAGAAAGTTATGAGATACTTAAAGAAAACTGAAAGTTCTATGCTTACACTTCAGCGTTCAAGTTATCTTGAGGTGGTAGACTATTCAAATTCTGATTTTGCTGAATGTCAAGATGATTTAAAATCAACCTCAGGTTATATTTTCACGTTAGCTGGTACTTTAGTGCCATCCTCTACTATGCAAGCTGAATTTGTGGCATGTTATGGGGCTACAATCTAAGCTATTTAGTTAAGAAATTTCATCTCTAAGTTGAAAGTTTTTGATTCCATCTCAAGACCGATTACCATCTACTGTGATAACAGTGTACCAGAATTCTTTTCAAAGAACAATAAAAGTTTTGGTGGGTTAAAGCATATTGACATCAAATATTTGGTGGTTAGAGACAGAGTCAAAGAAGGACAGACGAAAATAGAGTATATCAATACAGAGACAATAATCGCAGATCCTTTGATTAAAGGACTCGCTCCAAAAGTCTTTAAGACTTATGTTGCTAATATGGGCATTGTGGAAACATTTGATATTTTTGAATAGTGGGAGTTGTTTATGGAAAAGGACAACATTTTGGTTTGAACTTTTTGCAGGGTACGTAGGTAGCCCATATTTTTTCGGGTACAGCCCTTTCTGATAATAAAATATTTTTCCCCAATCCATGAACTATTTTGAGCATGCATTTGGCTTATGTCTTTTATTATAACATTATTGTAAGATCGAAATATGACAGAAAAAAATATAAGATGAGTCTCTTTTGGAGACATGTGGTTTCATTTTGATTTGAAGTATTATGAGGACCGATATGAATTAACACAGTTTTTTATCACATTTGGTGCTAAGTTCATACCACATACTACCACATTGATTGAAGGATGGGGATCCATGTCCATAAGGATGTTGGCATTTGTAGCTGTGTAATAGTCTTACATCGCTTAATTGGTGTAATGACTTCCATGTTCAGTGTTAATACTCTTGTTGGACCGGATCATGTTATGTAAAGTGTCATCATTGGAGTTATACTTTTGTGGCCACCTATGTAATCTAACCCGGGTGTTAAAACTTTGTTATAGCAATCAAATGTTTGCCCAAGTCGGAGAATGTTGGAATAATTCCATATGTGGGCTTCACATTCGATTGCAAAATTTTACGGGTTAGATATATGACCCATAATGATATTTGTGATTGGGCCAAATTTGTTAGGTGATCAATTGGGCATTTTACACCTCACGAGTTGTAATTAATATGATGTGATAATTTTAAGTATGTGGCCCGAAAATAAACCCTAATTAGAATTCTAGTCGTAATGTGACGACTCAATTATTTCTTATATATAAAGGCTAAATCCCCTCTCCTCTCCATATGTTTTCGTTAGTTTGCCCCATTGATAGCTAATATTTTGTGAGAAGCAAGAAGAGGAAAATCTAGCTGGTATTACAATTACAACTATTACTCATATCAATGATAACTTCTGCAGTATGAATTCGTTTTATTAATTTATTATTTGGCGATTCTTTATCCGTACGTGAAAAAGTAAGTTTAAAATAAATGACATTTTGTTAAATAAAGTTAAAAGTAAGTAAGTTACTTATTTTGATAGTGATGCTTACTGCAAAGAAAAGAATTGAGATGGATTGTACGATCCAATTTGTGATAGATTTTAGAGATCAACTTCTTATTCTTAAACAATCACAAGTTATTTTAGATGTGATAAATTAAAAAAAAAAAAAAANCAAATTCAATAATGTTTAGCAGCCTAACTGAATTTTTATTTATAAATTGGTTAACTACTCAACATTTGACGTTTTCCTTAAAAATGTAGCTTTCGTTTTTGTCGTTATCTAAGAAAACATGGGCAGTGCTAGATGCACCAACTTCCATTGACGAGTGTGAAGATTCAAAATTGTGACGGGTCACATGCTTCTCCCTTTGCCACCGGGCTTTTCACGGCGGTGTTGGCGGCCAAACGTGGAGGTGGTGGCCTTTCCACTCTTCTCAACACCCCTTTTTCCTGTGGAAATCCCCTCAAACCACACAGAGTTTCTATGTTTTATAAACCCAAACAAGAAAAAGAACATCAAAAATGGAAGTTCAACATTCTTTTCTTTTACGCTATATTTATTACAGGAAGGTGAATTTTTTCCCTACTCTTTAGATTCTGTGTTTAAATAACTATTACATGTAATTGCATCTCTAATCAATTTAGTCATTTTTCAAATTTTCAGACAATGCAAAGTGGACTATGGCTAGTTTGGTTTTGTGGGTTTTTCTTGATAGGTGTTTCCTTATACAACACCCAAATGCTTCTGCCTTCTTCTTTCAAAAATCACATCAAGAAACCAAGCTTTTTCAGAAATGATTTAGCTGATTCAAGTAATCCCACAATCACCATATTTACTGCACCGAGGCCTTTTGTTGGTTTAGTTGGGGAAAGGCAGGTTCTTGCTATTCAATCATGGCTAAGTTTACCTGAAAATGTTAATATTGTTCTGTTTAGCCAGGACTCCTCTGCTATCTCTTTTGCAGATGAATTTGGTTCTCGGGTCTCACTCGAGCCTAATATTGATTTCACGTAAGGGTCAACGATATTTTTATTCGATTATTGTTTATCTTATAATGCTGTGCCCCTTTTTTAGAGGAATTTAGTGTTGATTAATGTAATTAAATCTAAGGTGCATAATCACTGTAGAAGCTGCTAAATTATGTTTTATATGGCTGAGTTAAAAATAGTGTTTGTAATTAATTAGCTAAGCAAGAATGAGTTTTTTCGATTTGATTTATCTAATTGCAGTTCCAAAGATATAATCCAGGCCAGTGGCTAGCTAATAAATGGATAGGGCTTTTGTGTGGATGAATTTTCTGATTTTCCTATTATGGTGAACAACTTTGTATGGTGCTTTTCAATTAGCTAGGAAATATCTCAATTTACTGTAACACTTGTTCATGGTTTGAAATTCTGTTCAGGTTTCTAGGTACCCCTTTTTTTCATACGATGGTTGCAAGGTCCCTGGCATCATCATCAGATATTTCTGTATTGATTGATCCTGACACAATTCTTCTACCGGACTTTATTTCCACTCTTGAGTATGCTTACAAGCTTGATCAAGACTGGCTTCTTGTTGCTTCATCACAAACTATTTCCCATTTTCCTTTCCTTTTAGACTCAAATAAGAAACATTGGATAGCCGATGATGGTAAGCATATTGGAATTCATAAGGTATGAAGGAATTAGTTTTGGATTTAGACTGGATGGGACTTGAGAAATTTAATTTTAACATTTTGCTCTTCCATCAGCTGCAGGAGCTTCTTGCTCAGAATTCTCACCTTAAACCATGTGAAGATAGAATGCTTATGGCGTGGAACAATGGAGATGTTCCTCTTCACTATGGCGTCTTACCTCCATTCCTGTATGGAAAGGGACTCCACAACCATTGGATTCTCACTGAAGCCCTGTCGTCTGACTTTAGGCTTGTACTTGATGCAAGTTGGACCATTTCGAATTTCTACATTAATGATCTTGACCAAGAGAATAATTTGTTGATTGAAGGTTTTAATGTTTCCAATTTTGAGAAGAGAAGTTGGGAGATTATTGGCAATTCCCATCTAGGAAGGCTGTACGGGTCGATTTCGTTGCGTGAAGAAAATTATTCTAACCTGTTTAGATTTCTCGAATGTGGTGGGAACTATCTTCTTGTAAATACCTCAAAAAACATTGTTTATTCGTTGGGATACAAGAGATCACTGAGCTTAAGGAAAAAGGGCATCTCCTTATCGTCAATAGAGGAGGAAATTCTGGATTGTGTTAATGTTGTTAAATCACTTGACAGAATAAAGGGATGCTCTGTGAAAGACCAGTTAGAGCTGTTAACATCAATTTCACTTCCACTCTCCTTAGAAACTCTACTGTCAAATCGTGCTAATCAGAATAAGACCATTGTACTAGCTATTGCTGGATACAGTTACAAGGATATGCTAATGAGCTGGGTGTGCAGGCTACGCCACCTGCAGCTCGAAAATTTTTTGGTCGGTGCTCTTGACCATGAAATTTATGGTTTTGCAGTTTTGCAGGTAACTTGCACCATGACTCAACATTATAATAAACAAGATTTTAACTTCTTTCTATTTCTTGATCCTATCCAAGATTTGCAATCCTCCCCACCCAGCGTGCACTTAACGTTGTTCATGAGCATGAAGGTTTCATGTACACATAATATTAATGCTTTTCTATCTATGTGATGCTAGGGTCTTCCTGTTTTCAAGTATGCAAATCCTCTAACAAACATCAGCTTTGATAACTGTCATTTTGGAACGGAGTGCTTCCAGAAAGTAACTAAAGTCAAGTCTAGAGTGGTTTTGCAGATATTAAAGCTCGGATACAATGTGCTCTTGAGTGATGTTGATGTGTATTGGTTTAAGAATCCATTGCCCTTTCTTAGTTCTCTTGGTCCTGCAGTTCTTCTAGCACAGTCAGATGAACACAACATAACAGGTACTCGTTCCAAGTATTCAACTTTAGAGACCTATTTTTCTAATAGAACTAATACACCCAAAGAAAATAAAATGAAAAGGACTGAAAAGT